ATAAACGAACTTGGGATACGGATATGAGTGAATGGATAACGAAGAGAACCCACATAATAGCCACGGCAGTGGTCGCACCTTCAAGTAGGTTGCGTTCAGAAACGCACTCAACGTTGGGGGACGCTTTGTTGACATTTTGAGTGGTCATCCAGCTCTTAGTTAATTTCCTATCCTTTTTTCTATTTAACAACGATCGTTTACAGACAGTGTTCGCGAGAGCAAAAAGTGGACAAAGAAATGAAGAAAAAAAACCGACGTTTTGCAGTAGCGTTGTCAATTGTACAAGCAAAAAAGGTCTTATTTTTGTGTCCACTTCTCATTTTCTTGTATTTTTTTTTTTGAAGCTCAAGTTTGCATTGTTGTCGTTGGTCGTTTCCCAGTCTGCGTTGCGCCTCAGTGTGGCAATCTTTACTTCTGTAAAACCACCCCTTTTGTTTGAGGATTTTTTGGGGGAAACTCTATAGGAAACAAAAGGCGCCTTTGGGAAGGCGAGGGGAAAACCTTCATTGTACGAGCTTTCAGCTGAAATTTGAAATATGAATCAAAATCCGCAAAAAGCGATGTTTTCACGAGCTCAGTCAAAGTCACCGTAGCTAATCGGAGCTAGCACCAGGATTTGGTTGCTCGAAAGAATGTTCACGTTTGCTCGTGTCACGCCCATGCCACTTCATACCAAAAAACTCAGAAAATGGCGGAATGTCAAAAATGTATTTGAGATAAGGAGTACAAGACACTCAAAAATGTAATTAAAATAGAGTATCAAACACTCTCGATCAAAAGTATTTGCAGGATACAAAAATACTTCAAAAAGTATCTTGAGTAGAGTATTCGAGATAGGCAGAAGTATGCTAATTTCATAATTTTCCCCAATTTTTCAGCATCAATCAACGAGATAATTCTGGTTGCCTCTTCAAATTATCCGTTAAGACAAAGGTCTGCTAAACTTTTCCCAATATTTTAAAGCTCTTAGATACAGGTATATACAAAAAAATATATATCCCCCATTTACTGCAGATCTTCAGGACTTCTACAACTTTGGAAACGTACTCTCTCTCTGTATCCCTTTTTAAAAGTGATCCAGACTCCGAAAGTTAGAAATAAAATATGTGGCGCTTTCTTTGTCGCTGTAGGTTGTTTGCTATTATGGAGTGTTTTGGCTGCGGGGTTTTGTTCTGTTTTCTTATTTCGTTGGCGAGTAGGGTAGCACATAGATGTTGCGTGTTTCACTTGCAATTGCCGCAGACAAACTTTGTCCGACAGTTTCCTTTCCTCTGTTCCTTCATCGTTCACTTGAAATAACTCAAGTCCTGGGAGATTTTTTTCTGTTTCACGTCTAGTGCGGTGTCCGCGTTGCAGCTTTCCGATAAGTATTTTCAGGAGTTGCAGAAAAAGCAATATGTTGCGGCTCCCGTGAGACTGTGGAGAATATCTGTAAATCGTCTTGTTCCCGTTCTTCAGGGTTTATTTTTCGTCGTGCCAGGTTTGTTGTCTTGATTTCTTTTGTCGAAGGTCCACCCACCTCGTTCCCGACATTCGATGACAATCTGGAAATATACCAAGAGTGAATATAGGGCCTGCTTTGATGTTTGAGGCTCTCTTAATCCAAAGAAAGATTGTTTGTCGATGATGTTCAATGGCGTCGTCGGTTGGTAGTACCTTCAGTAATATCTGGTTCAACATTTAAGAGACGGACATTGCGTGTACATCAATATATTTTAATTCATGACTGTGAGACATAACTGCGTCCCACAGTCTTATCATGACACCAATATTGTTTACTGATTGAACCTTCCGCAGCGTTCGGCGGTATGCAATATATTCTTGCTCCGCAAAACTTTTGTCTCCAAATCACACACGAAGGATGTCCAATGCGTCCGAGTGACTGGTTAGATATTCGAATGCCAGCAATGATTCTAGCTGAATGTACAGTGAGGCGGGACCGAAGATACTGAAACTTGTCAAGCTGGAACAGGTGTGCGTGTTCGTCGATTGTGTTTTGAGAGATGCTGACGTGAAATTTCAGCATTCCCAAATTCGGCGCTCTTGTTCTCGCGTTCTCGGCGGCTGCTCTGTGAACAGGATCTGTCCCACTAGCTTCGACTGCGTATGTTCTCTGAGTCTTCAGTATTTTTCTATGACGGATTAACATGGCTAATGCCTGAGTTGAATTATCTTCGTAGGAAATGACTGATTTGTACTCTTGCTCAAGCTGTTCGTCGGTTAAGAAAGGTTCGAACTCTTGATTTATTTTTGAATCAGGAGTTGAATTGATTGTTGAATCAGGGCCTTTAATTCATTGTTGTTTATTGTAAGTCTCTGTTTTTGCGTTGTGACTGGGCTTAATCCGCGATCGTCATTCGCTTGTATTGCACTGACCTATTGAATGAGTCGAGTGGTCTGTACCAAACAAGCACTTCGCTTTGTGTGCATGCGCTCCATGAGGCTGTCTTTAGAGGTTCTCTGAAGTCTTGTTCGGCTTTCCGTTGCATTGTAGTAGCTTCTCGGGTTTCGACACCACCAAGTTCCCGTAGAAACTCTTTCGGACAGCCTCCAGTTTCAAAACCTTTAAAGGGGCACTGTAACGAAATATTTGCACTTATTGGTTTGTTCAGATGTAGTTTATGTTGTGCCGGTAGCCCAGAAACACTAGCCTAGACTAGCGCTTTTTAGATTGCAGGCGGAGAAGTCAAGAAAACTAATTCTAAAACAAATTAACAGATTTCAAAATTGCGCCGGGTGCCGCTTTGTGAAGCTCCGTTGAAATGCCGCCACGCTATGAGTTCCCAAGAAGCATCGCCAGTTCACGGCAGCATGGCTCTCTCGTGGAGTTCCTTAATCCTTGATGTGACTCGGCGGCGAACGCTAGCGCGTTTACTACGTTGTATATGTTAAAGCTTCCACAGTGCCTCCGCGGCGTGCATTCCATACAATCAAGATCGCCGTTCTTTGAACACGCCAGGCAGGAGCTTGACCGGAAGATTCGGCGACCTCTGGCAGGCCAAGCATACACCCCCAACCCCCTCTCCGGATGCGCTGTGAATAGCGCTCTCAAAGATGGCACCCAGTGAATGCCTTATATGCAAACCCCCCTCCCCCCCCCCCCAAAAAAAAAAAAGAAAAAAAGGAAAAAAAAAACACAAAAAAAACCAACTACAACAACAAAAAAAAAAAACACATTTACAATGTCTTTTTTCGCCGCAAAAATAAACTACGCTTCACCGAACGCTCATTATTTGAGCAAAAGTAGCGCTAAAGGTCCGAACAAGATGCCAAAGTTTCAACACAAACCCATATTTTATTCAAACGTTAAGTTATTTTTTGAAAATATACATAAAAAATATGGCCTATTTTCGCCCGTTTTCTGTTTCTGGCACCCTAGAGCTCCACGTAAACGAGAGCTCAGTCTGCCGCCATTTTACCATCAACATTGTCTGTTAGAAGGAGTGTAACTTATCTTGTTTTTTTTCAATTTACCGTGTACTTAAGTACTGCAAATTGAAAACTTCGCTGAAACTTGAACCACGTTTCAGTGGCGTTGAAACGCGTAAAGCTACAAACAATACTGGAGGGCAATATTTTGGGGCAATGCAGTGAAAGGTGCGGGCATACGTTACCTCTTTCTGACCGAGGGCCGATCGAAGCTATGCACTTGCTCTACTCGTCTCCTTGGAAATGCCACCGAAATTTGCCCCCGAGCATATCAACTTTTTTTTCTTTAACCCTATCGCCACAATTGTACATTTCGTGCCGGAAGAGAGAAACAAAATTTTTTTTATATGCACAGTCGCGTCGTGTGTTTTTGCAAGAAAGAGCGCGGTTCGTTAATGGCTGTCCTTAGGGCCACTAAATAAGCTACGCTTCAAAGTAACGACACTTCAGCCAACTTGGTGCTTAAAATCATGGCTGCCAGTTATCTGAAGCTTCCTCTGAAATCGCTGGAAACGCTTTTCAGTCCTCCCTAAGTGCTAAGACAGTTCGCGACAGAGGAAAACAGTATCACCTGAGCTTTCGTAACACCGTACCTGAGGCTGACGAAGTCGCATTTTCGAATCGTGACCATCGACAGTCACGTCTGCTCTGCACTAAGCACCAAGATGGCGGCGCCCACTAGCAGATCGAGGAACGGAGTGCCGATACTCTTAGCGTAGCTCATTTAGTGGCTCTAGCTGTCCTTGGTGTGGCCAATTAAGCAACATTTGTTCCGATTTAAAAAAAAACAAAAAGACGAGCTATAGGATTATTACATAGCATAATCGGGGCCTGCGAACTCCCTCCTCTTCCTCTAAGGAACGTCATCCCTGTCGAATGGCGCTAACTTAGCAGTTGGGTCGGAGCTCGATACCGAGCGCCCTTCGACGCGTTGATTGGGCACGAGGTGCAGCCGAACGCTTACGTAAGACTGGTGTCGAATCTGTGTCTTCGCTCGATCTCACTCTTATGGCAAGCACCAAAAATTAACTCTTTTTTTTTTCTTTTTTTAATGGAGTGCAGCAATTTTTTCAAAGACCTGTGGTGATATGTCTTGTGAACCAGGTTATAGTTTGAACCGGTTTTTCCAGAAGCCGCTTCTTGGTTTCGCGGGAGTTCTTGTAAAACCGACTGTGCATTTATGAACGCTCTCCGCGCGATAGCCGCACTATCACACGCCTGAAGGACGAGCCAAGAATCGTCGGGCAGCACGAGTTGGCGTTTCGTGACGGGCATTCCCAACGCGTTCAAAGTCATGCGTCGTACGTAGTCGAGCCGGAGACGAACCATGTCCTCCTCTGCCGCCATTGCAGAGCATTTCCTAGTTTGTTTCTATTACCAATCCTCGCGCACGTTCGGATTTTATATTAATGACCAGAACGGTTTTTACCTCCCCCCCCCCCCCTCACTTGGCCTTCGGAAGCAGGGGTAGTCGGTGAAGCTTTCGCAAACACTGTCGCGAAAGCTTTCTTTTCTGTGTGTGTGTGTGTGTCTGTGTGATTTGAGAACCGCGTGCACAGCACGGCCGAGGCTGGGGTATGTTGAAATACTATGCGTTAGCAGTGATACCGCCTACTTGAGTTCTAGTCCTGAGAGGGGCAGACCGGAGTATAAAAGAAGATCGCGAAGGGGTTTCAGAGCAGCAGTAGTTGGTTCGACCTGGTCTAGCAATCATGACTGGAGTGAGTAGAGCAAGATTCGTAGATTTGCGAAGGGGTGGGCTATATATATATATTTAAAAAAAACTATTTTCAAACTTAAACGCGCTTTAAATGAATATTTGTTTTTTACGTTTCAAATATTATCTGAAAAAATATGCCACAATTTTTGAACACCGTCATTTGCACAGATTCTTCATAATATAATTTTCTAAAGGCTAACAATCGTCACGTCAGTACAGAAAGACGAATTGCTATCTCGTGATTGATTAACATTGGTTACTCTATGCATCAATAAAGGAACTAACTAGAAATGAACATGCCGACCCCCAAGAACATTATGCTGTAAACATAATTGAAGCGGAATGATTGCCAAGATAAATTTACTTCGGAGGTAGCGTTTTCAGGACTACAGTTGGTTTGAAGTTGCAGCGTCACGCACATGGCGCATAAATGTGAACATTTAGCAAGAGAGAACACCTATTCCTGGTGATCTGCACTGAACTCACATAAAGAGCGTTTTATATTTTGTCTGCTCATTTTCCAGTTCCGTGCCTGTCTTGTCCTGGCCCTGGCTACCGGTGCCTTTGCTGGAGTGTACCACGGAAACGCCAACCATGCCGTCAGCTCCGGCTATGGCTTCGGTGGCTATTCCTCCGCCTTGAGCGGCCTTGCTCCCTCTAGCTACGCAGTGTCCTCTCCAACCGTGTCCCGCACTGTATCCACTTCTTACCACGCTTCTCCAGCCGTCACTACCGTCTCCGCTGCCCCAGCTGTCTCTAGGGTTGACACCTACCACACCGCTCCCGCTGTGACCACGTACCAGGCTGCTCCGTCTGTCTCCCGTGTTGACACCTACCACACCGCCCCAGCCGTTGCCACCTACCAGACTGCCCCAGCTGTGGCAACCTACCAGTCAGCTCCAGCCGTTTCCCGCGTTGACACCTACCACACCGCCCCAGCCGTTGCTACCTACCAAGCTGCTCCAGCCGTTGCTACCTACCAAGCTGCTCCGACCGTTTCCAGGGTGGACACCTACCAGACCGCTCCAGCTGTCGCTACCTACCAGGCTGCTCCTGCTGTTGCCCAGGTATATCAGGCTGCTCCAGCTGTGACGACCTACCAGAGTGCTCCAGCTGTCGCTAAGGTCTCCAGGGTGGAGACCTACCAAGCCGCTCCAGCCGTGCAAAGGGTTGACACTTACCACGCCGCCCCAGCCGTTGCTACCTACCAGACTGCTCCAGCTGTCCAGAGGGTCGACACTTACCACGCCACTCCAGCCGTGGCCACTTACCAGGCCGCACCAGCTGTTCAGAGGGTTGACACCTACCACGCTGCTCCAGCTGTCCAGAGGGTCGACACTTACCACGCCACTCCAGCCGTGGCCACTTACCAGGCCGCACCAGCTGTTCAGAGGGTTGACACCTACCACGCTGCTCCAGCTGTCCAGAGAGTTGACACCTACCACGCTGCTCCAGCTGTCCAGAGGGTTGACACCTACCACGCTGCTCCAGCTGTCCAGAGGGTGGACACTTACCACGCCGCCCCTGCTGTCGCTACTGTGGCCGCTGCTCCAGCTGTCGCCACATACCAGGCCGCCCCCGCTGTGGCTTCTTACCAGACCGCCTACGCTGTCCCAGCCTTCGCCTCTGTCTCTGCTGTGCCTTCCTACGGTTTCGGAGTTGGTAACCTCGGTTACGGAGCCGGTAGCTTCGGCTACGGACACGGCCTTGGCAGCTACGGCCTAAACTACGGCTATGGCCTCGGTGGATTCAACGACTACGCCGAGCTCCTTCGCAAAAGGAAGTGTAAGTAGTACCTCTCAATCATTTCAGGTGCAGTGATGTATCACAAATAGTTCTGTAAAATATCAAAATTAATGTAATTGATCAGATGATATCTACAGTACACTTCTGTTGCATTATGGTACTTCACCAATGGTATTAATTGTAAATTATAAATTAGTTGATTCTAAAATTACAGTCATATCTGAACCAAGAAACAACCAAGCCATAAAATGTTGTAATTTGCCATTATTTTCCTTTTTAGAAACTCAAGGAACTGACCACTGGCCCACTGAGGATCTGGAAGGACGTACAGCTGTTTACACAAGCAATGCTGTTCTGTACATTTGTTAAATAAACTGACATCAACATATGTATAATTTTGTACTGCCATTCCTTGATCGCAATAAGTCACTCATCGATTCCATGCCAAGATTGAACCTTTTTATATCTAAGCAATCTGGCTCTTTCAAGTGGGCTTTACTTTTGCCGTCTCTTCCTAGAAGGAATGTCCATCAATAACTGTCAAGTCCTCGGCCTATGCAAAACAAACATTCCATAGAAATGGTTTAGATAGTGCAGAGGCTCAGCTTCTTTGAATGTCCCAACATATAAAGACCATGTACAAACACTAATTTAGGTTAAGCAGCAAAGGTAAGGGTTTAAAAGAAAGTGTTTGCGATGCATCATACTAGAGTAGTTTTTTTTAAATTAACTTTCTCGTTCAACCATCATAACCAATTGAGATTACAAAGCAATTTACTGGTTCTTATAAGACTCAGCGAAATGTTTGAATTGACTGACGAGGCTTCCAAATCACATAGCAGTAAGCAACCCATACTACTGGATGCTAGCTGGGTCGGATAATCTACGCAGTATTGCAGATAGGCGCATGGCATTCGAGAAAAAACACTGGGTGTATCGACCGACAATCGAAAATATTGTCTTTGCAATGAAAAATAGACTACATGTAGATTGGCGAAGGCCAGCACTCACACTTGATCGTGACGCGGACGATTGGCATCAGATGTCAGAGTTTAGCCACTCGGCGTCATCTGACTGAAAGTTTTTTAAGCTATTTGTTCAACACAATGTATAGTTTCAGACAGATTATAAAACGCGGGGCATGGGGAGTCCCGCTGAGCTTCTTATTATCGCTTTGCACCCAGTGGGACTGCGACATTGCGGGAGAAAGTGAAAGGATCTCACAATAATATTCAGTCGGAGTAGGAACTGTCCCTTCCACCAGCTTACATTTCGAGGTTGTTGGCCCCTAAATGAAATTCAATCTAATTTCAAATAACCCGTCAAAAATAAATAAAAAAATATAGGAGGACGCTTAAGCTTCGCCTTAAAGAGTGGAACACGGTAGATAAATACGAGCCCCCGCTCGTTCCCTAACCGGGCAAGCGTCTCTGCATGGCCTAGGAATCTTCTTCCGGCAGCGATAGCAGACGGACGTCGAGTCACGCGCTCCGCAGGGGCGGTTACATCGGCCGTTTGTGGCCGTGGTACTTCTGCTGCAGATAACGCGAAGGAAACTAAAAGATTATCAGGTTATGCTGCCACCCCTGCCCGCTGGATACATCGCGACAAACGCGGTGTTTTTACACTGCGATGTGAAGAAATTCCTCTACCGCATACAGGACTTCAGACACGAGCTGGAAAAACTTAACATCATGAAAGACTTGGCATCAGCAGGTGCGTACCAGATGAACCATGTGCGGGTGTTGAGACTGCATTCCTTAGCTGCGAAGCAAAAGCTGGTGAACGCGAAAGAACTCGTGGTGAAGGGAGGGCGGTGCCTCGCGCTAGACCCGGCGAGCAATGAAGTCAAGCTGGAACTTCACTGGGTGCCGTATGATGTACCAAACTTCAAAGTGCAAAAGGAGTTGGAAAAGTTCGGGAAGGTGTCCAGTATAACAAGGGAGCGCTTCAAAGAACAAGGTTTTGAAAATGTCGAGTCAAACACGCGTCTCGTGCAAATGACTCTCCATGAGGGTATGACGGTCGACAAAATTCCCTACGAAGTGCGACTGGAGGGATGCAGAGTCCTGGTCCTGGTGCCAGGGAGAGCAACTCTGTGCCTGCGCTGCAGACGAACCGGGCACATCCGGCGAGAATGTCGCGTTCCCCGATGTACCGACTGCAACCGTTTTGGACTTGTGACGGAGGAATGCGTGACAACGTATGCTTTCATCGCTCGAAACCGCAAGGAGCAGGATGAGTCGGAGATGTTCATGGACGCAACCGAGGCAGATGAAGCTGTAGAGACCGCTGCACCGGAGGCGCCAGACGACACGCCAAAAAGGCCGGACACTGGAGCGGGGAACGACGATGGAGCAGAGGCGTCTCAGGACGGAACCTCCGAGTTCACAAAACACCGGAATGACAACAATGACATCCATGAATACCCTCACGCAGAAAAGACAGCGTCGAAGGAAACCTCCATCTGTACAGCGGTCGACGGCGACCAGCGCCAGCAGTTCTATCCTAGCACCGGGTATTATGAGCCTATGAACGAGACCGGCCCGACAAGAAAAAGTCAGCTGGACCGACCTCCCGTCCCGGACGCGCCTGGCGAAGAGGAGCTAAGTTCAACGTCATGAACAACTCAAGGACCTAAGAAAGCTCGGCTTGTGTTCAAACCTCGGATGCCCCCAGGCGATCGCAGTAAGAAAAACTCAGAGTGAGTGACGCGAAGTGAATTGCGCATGAGAAAGTGCAACGGTTGTTGACCCTTGTAGAGAAAAACGCTTGCCAATTAGCTTAAAAAACAAACGCGTAAGAGTATGTTTGCACTTCTTGAGCTTCTCCGTTTTGCGACTTTAAATGTGCGTGGACTTAACTCGAAAAAGAAACAATACCAACGGCAGCGTTTAGTATGGGAGCAAGAGCTAGATATTCTGGCATTGCAGGAAACAAAAATGGAAAACAGCGACCACATTGAACAAGGACTTAAAACCTTTCCTTCGCTGCTACGAGGTTTGCGTAAGTCACTCTGTTGGAGCGTCCGCTGAATGTTTCTTATTTCTTAAAAAGTCCAAACAGCTCCACGTTTCCAGCGTTATCACAGATGATCAAGGCAGACTCATTATCTGTGATTTGAAGTGTCTAAACGAAGGAGTGCGCGTAATATGTTTGTACGCGCCTAATAATGTCAGCGAAAGAGTCTTACTTTTTCAGTTTTTGGAGCAGTATCTACAGTCCGACAAGGTTATTGTGTTTTTTTTTGTGTATGTAGCGACGAGGGCAGGGTATGTGCCAAGAAAATTACGATCGGAATGCTACAGTTTTGAATGACCTGATAACTGAATATAAATTAGAAGACATAGCCCATCTCGAGAATTCGGGAAAAGAATTTCGTTTTACCCATTTTCGACAGTCGTCCCACGCGCGTTTGGATAGGACTTGTGTTTCGGCAGAGAAATGCAATATCGCCTCAGACTATCACGTGAAACCGCTCTTTTTTAGCGATCACTCTCTTGTCACGGTTACGTTGAGGTGCGGAAGGAAGAGGGTACCGAATTTCAAATGGGAACTATGAAAATTAAATGTCAATTTGTTGAATGACAAGACTTCTTGTAAAGGAGTAAAAGAAGCTTTTGAGGCGGTGCTTGCTGATAATACCATGAGTTGCATGAAAATGTGGGAATACTTTAAGCAAGAAGTTAAATCACGCGCTATAGAAAGGTCGTTTGTTTTAAAGTTCCATGCCAAAAATGAAGAGAGGATGATGAGCAAATATTTGTTTAACCTACTGCAGGACGAACAAAAACATCCCGGTCTGCATTACTCGGCGATTAAAGAAGCACAAGCAAGGCTTGACGGCTTTCACCAAGACCACTATCGCGGTGCGATAATCCGAGCAAGAGCACACAAGTTTCTTTTGGGGGAACAGCCCACTAGCCGCGCCTTGGCGGATGAAAGGAAGTACGCTTTAGATAAAGAAATCACCGCCGTTGAGCATCAAGGTGTTATCAGCACTGACAAACATATAATTGAACTCACTTTCGTCAAGTATTACGAGCAGCTTTTTGGAGGCCAAGATATGCCGACGAGCATGACAGATATTAGGACGATGCTTCTGGAAGCGCCCGTGTTATCAAACGAGGGAAAAGAGTGGCTCGAGGAACCTATCACATTGAGTGAAGTAGAAAGCGCGATTGACGGCTTAGCGTCACACAAGACACCTGGCCCGAATGGTCTTGGAGGAGAGTTTTACCAGAAATTTAAGAACGACCTGTTTCCGTTTCTCCTTAGGGTAGTACATGAAGCGTGTGATTTTCAAACTTTGCCTCCATCGTTCCTTCGGTCACACACAGTGCTCACTCCTAAATCCGATGATATAAGTGTGCGACAGTGTGTAACTGGTTATAGACCTATAGCACTTTCGAATGTTGACTATAAAATTTTTGCCAGAATTCTAGCTAGACGAATTTAGCATGTGATCTGCCGGCTGGTCGGAACATACCAGACCTGTGGAATTAAAGGCAGGTCGATCCAGACAAACATTCACGTGGCGCGGACTATTTTGGAAAGCTCTTCAGCTGAAAGAAGTTCAATTGCAATGCTGCAAATTGATTTAGCAAAGGCATTCGACAAGGTGTGTCACGACGTTCTTTGGGAGGTTTCGGACCGGGCTAATGTGGGAAAGAATATAATCGAAGCTGTTAAAATTGCTTATAAGTGGTGTACGACGAAACTAATTATAAACAATTCACTTTTTCCTCGGTACGCAAGGGCTGCCCAATGTCGCCTTTATTGTTTTCTCTTTATTTGGAACCATTGTGTTTAAGTATTATTCGGTCGAAACAACTTCAAGGTTTTCGGGTGGGTGACATAGAAACTAAAGTTCTAGCGTATGTAGATGACATTTCTGTGTTCTGTAGTAACAAAGAGAGTGTCGCTAGTGTTTTAGAACTGTGTACACAATTTCGCAAAGCAACCGGTGCCGTTGTTAATGTTGACAAATGTAATGATACCTAATACGGCGAGTGTGATGCCACGCCTCAATATTTTAGAGGTGTTAAATGGAGCTGCGTGCCGAGCAAATACCTTGGAACCCCGCCACAATATATGCAAACTAATTCAAAATATTGGGTGGACGTTGTTGAGGATTTAAGAGAGCGGGCAACCAAATGGTGTGGTCGCGACATGTCGATATTCACTAGGGCCACTGTCTGCAATGATTTTTTAATCACCAAGTTATGGTATGTACTACACGTCCTACACTGTGCACGAACTAGTATACAAAAAATGCATGGAGTGTTTGCTGTTTTCATATGGAAAAGCACGGGGGACCAATGAGACGCGATAACCTCTTTCGTCCAGTGTCAAAAGGAGGACTCTGTTTGTCAAACCTATTTGTCCGACA